ATACTGATAATGATCGAATAAACAACTATTTTTGGGGAATAGTGATTTCATATCAAATATGCTAAGACTATTTTAATTCTAGCGTGGATAAACGACGTTGTTCTTTTAAAAGTAAATCATGCGTTTCAAATACTTAACTCTTCATTTGGATAAAAATAATATAATATTAGTCGAAATTACTACTTTAATTTATGGAAAATTTATATATTTGAGCTCAGTTCTGATAAAACTCAATATTTTTTCACGTTTGAAACATTTGAACGTCTGTAACTTAGTATCATACCGTCAGCCATTTATTGCTCTAGCTTGATGAAAATTTTAATTTATAATAATTTTAAAAATTTTAGTTGTATTAGCAAACTTTTGGGGTGTTTTTTTAATTCCAAGTAATTTGCGTTAATAAGTTTTTATTTTAATACAGTCGCAGACTTAATTATAAATGTTAATAATAGCCTCTATCTCATCAAAACTACGTTAGCCAAGGCCACATAGCGTGTATTTCAATTGAATATTGCACATGTAAATATCGACATTGGTTCAAAAGCTTAACACGAGAGCACTCAGCCACGACAATTATCGTTTGCTAAAGTTAGTAAGCTTGGCTTCGGGAACTAATAGATAAGATTGCATTTGCAATTGTGTCATTTAAGCCGGAAATCTTTTATAATTATTAAAACGAGAAGTTTTATTACATTTTCATTTTCCTTCACTAAAATTATACCTTATTACTATTTTATTATTGTTATTATTATTATTATTATTATCATTATTATTATCATCATTATCATTATTATTATTATCACTATTATTGTGATTGTTATTTCATTAACATCATTTCTGTATATTAATAATCGTATATACAATGATGGAATATCAACAAGTAAAATTTGCTTATGTATATAGCAGTTCAAAAATTAATTGCAATTCAAAAGTAATTGAGCTATGTTTTGGTTGAAACAGATGTGAAAATTATCTTGTCATAAATTTCTTTTACTTTAAATTCTTGTTTACCTTTAAAATGAATAACTTGTAAAAATTGTACTTTTTTTAGTTTTTAAAGAAAATAAAACGAAAACTAAAACGTTATTGACTGTTCTGTTTAACAAAAACCGATCTGTGATTGATATTTTTTGACTCTAATCACACAATACAATCCAACAACGTTTAATGAAATTCATTTGTTTAGTTATTTTAATTTTTCATTTCTAAGTAATATTTATCTTTTTTACGCATATAATTCAATAAAACAATCTGAAAATTAGTATATTTATGCATTTTTAATTTGAATACAACCTTTGAAGTATATCACTAAAAGATTTGGCAGGTAATATTCTTGCAAACAACAGCACATTTACGAAGGATTTGTTTGCATGCACAATAAGCAGCGTCTGCAAACAGTTTTTTATGTGTCACTTGAAGTGATGTATTTATTTAAGATGAATAACAAAATATGTAATATTAATTATGATACAAAATTCAATTCGATTACAACAAAAAATCGATAAAGTAAAATGACAATTTCACGCTATTTGATTATAATACTTCAGTTAATTAAGAATTTCATTGCAATCTCTGTTAAATATTCATATTATTAGAAAGTCCATTCAGATTTCACAAACTTCTACGTATGAATGTTTTATTTGACTGGTTTGGTCTGCTGAGCTAATCCAGACAAACTTTTAAGACTATAATAAAGTCAAAAAAGAAGGTCAAACATGAGAAACTGACCTTTGTTGAGAGAAATATTGTAACTAAAGCGAAATTGACTCACAGATTTTTCTAAAACAATTATTTGACGTCACTCCAAGTAATTTACCTTAGAAACTATAACTGAAGGAACTAATCTCATCTATTAGTCTGAAGATAAGTCATCTACCAGTTCAATTATATATAATGAGTTTGACAAAATCAGCCTGCTGATTTTGATGCTTTTTATCAGTTTTTTAATTTTCATGTTTCATTATACGAATTGAGTAAGAAAGTATATTTCAGTATTCTTGTTGGTGCTCCGAAAGGTCAATCAGGTCAACCTGGAACAGTACAAACTGGAGCTGTGTTTTCTTGTCCACTCACGACTCATTATAGTTACAGGTTGATACTCTGTTTCCCAATTTCTTAAAAAAAATTCAAATGATATGCTTAAGTTAGTCGATCATTTTTACCGCAGCCAGAATTATTGCTGTGGAATGATTATTGAAACAAATTATCCTTACGAGTCTAAAAAAGTTGGAAATTTCGGATCTTTTTAGTTTTTATAAGCATTTTGAAAGAGATGTACTGATACCATTTACGAGATATATGTTATTCTGTGACTATTCAAATTTCGGTAGCGTTTATTCAATTATAATATATGGTGGCATATGCTACGTTTACATAGTAATATATTCCTTTTCATAACTTTGTATACATATGGTCTATTAATCATTATACGAATTGAGCTGATTAAATCGTAGTAATCTGATCACATTGGATCTGATCTATATACCACCTGCTTGAAATAACACATATTATTAATTTATATATAAAATTAAAGTATAAAAATCTTAGTATAAAAATATTTGATTTTGCTTTCTGTGTTTCGTTTTTCCAACGGACATTTTGAATTATTTTAAGACTTTACTAATTGCAAAATTTTTCAAGTTACAGAAGAAATTTCAAAAATTATAATTAGAAACCCCAAACAGTTTTTTGAATCTGCAAAAATTACTATTTTACGATCGAAGTTAACTGGCATTCTTTCATTTTAACTCAATACAACTATTTCTTTGATTAAAATTGATAAAATTTTCATAAGCTGAAATGGAAATAGCTCTAATATTAAGAACCATCATAAATTTTTTTAAAATGTTGCCTCACTTTTCCCCGTAATAAAAAATGTGCAAAACTACTTTGTACCCAAAAATGTTCAGTTTCAACAAGTAATTTAAGTATTACAAATATTCTGATAATAAATTATTTATTAAAAACATAAATAACACAAAGTAAACTTCAATATTCACTTAAAATTTTGGATGATTGATAACAAAGCGCAAATTAATTACTTAAGGAGTAGTAATGACAATAATGAAAGCAAATTTGATGCAATAATATTAGTAGTTATTTTGTTGTGAAAGAAGCGAAAACATTCGATAATGAACAAAAAGTCATTAAATTATGAACATTTGACTGTTTGCGCAAGATAACTATTTGGATTCGATTTCAAAAATATGCAAATTAATATCTCATAAGCAATAATTAATATGATACTAAGTAGTGCAAGACATCATTATTAGTTATTTCAGTCAGTTTTTGACGAAGTTCAACTAGTAAATCTCAGTTTTAGAATGTCTGAAATTAAAAAGAAATATGCATAAGATTAGATGCAAACATTTGCCTGACAAAAGTTGAAGTACCAATTTTCTTCATATCTATTAATTTCATTGTGGGATTTAATTTCACTTATGCATTCATTTAATATCACTTTTAATTACTGCAGTGCCAATATTGAATGGTGTCAGCAGGAAAATGTCGAATATGCTACTATTGATGAGCTTCATAAACCCGTGAATTCTGTCAACGGACGTCAATTGCACTTTCAAGGGAAAAACAAGCAAATGTTAGGATCAGTAGTGGCAAGTGCTGGTGTCCCGTATGGTATGGCGATGGTATGCTGTTTTTCCGCTTATTTCTGTAAACCATTAAATAATTGGGAATTTTATACATCGAATTCAAATAATCAGTGAAGAGTGGAATAATTTTTTCAAAATCTTTTCCGTCGAAAGGTGACTTCACAAACTTGAAGTAATAAAAGTGAAACTTCCTCTGTAGGAACTGAGGCAGTCCTTTTACTGCTTCGAAAAATAACTGTTTAGTTCTATTCAAATCAAAAAAAATTAACATAAATGCAAAATTAATGCAGATTAATGCACAGTCAAGTCTCCTTCTCAGAAATCTATCAAGTATTGTAGTTAGTGCTTAATTATCTCTTGTGTGTCATATTATCTCTATAAAATATAATATTACAACATCCGAAAAAGTTATCAGATTTGTCTCAGAAGAATTAATACAATAACAATTTAATTGTTAAAATGAATTAGTACGATAACAATTAAATTGTTATTGTATTAATTTTTACGACATATTTCTTTTTTATTTCATTTTTTATTAACTTATTTTTAGATTTAAAGTCATCTGAATCTAAGCTTAAAACTAAGTCAGGATTGGTACTTTCCAAATTTGAATGAAACAAAGTAATTAAACGAATATTAATTAATAATTTTGAATTAAAATAAAAAAGGGCATAAATTCTTTTAATTTGCTTTAATTTTTTAATCACTTACAGCAACTGATATAATTTAAAGTTTGATATCTTTTAGGCCTGCGCACCATTGGTGCGATACCATAACAGTTCAGCCTACACAGATGGTACTTGTTTCGTTCTCGAAAGTGACCTTACCCAGAAGGTTACTATTTAACTTAAGAAACAGTCATTTTTTAACTTTTCTTGTATAAATTACCAAAAACAATCTTACTCCTACAAATTATTGATTTTTGTTTTTGCACTACCAAGTATTATTAATGGATTCAAGTGAAAAATAACAAATTATGCGTCTTAAATAATACGCATTCAAATTCAGATTACTGTTTTATGTTATCTTGATACTTTTAATTACAAGTAAACAAGTCAAAGTTTTCTAAAACAAGTTGTGATTTATGGCCAATCTTCTCTTTGTTTTACATCAGAACTAATTAGATTCCTAAAGAATCAATAGAACACATTCCATTCTGTGCGCAAATTGTATTTGATTCAGCGAGTACAAGATTTAGAAACTATCGTAACAATTCATCCTTTAATATGCAATCAAGACTTAAGTAGGTTTAAAAAAAAAAAGGAAAAACTTTAAATTAATCGTCAATTTGCAGGAAGTTCTGGTTTCCTGTTCACAACCAGGTCTACCTCGAACGGATCGACACAATGAATTTGGTTCATGCATGGAAGGCTTCAGTGGTTACATTGATCAGTCGATGGTTATCACTGGTATTTCAGCTTCTGTCATTTTTGAAAGTTTTGCCTTTAAAGCTGTTGAGTGAAGTGAGCAGTGTAGAGAATGGCTCAAACAAAAACTTTTTCACGATTGTTCATCTTGAGCATTTGCTCATCACGATTGAAAATTATAAGAATATATTTGGTAAATTCATGCAATCAAAGATTTCAGTGCCATCTTTAAGAAAACTGTAGGATTTACTGTTAATTTAAGTAAATGTATATTCAACAATTAAAGATACAACTCTCAGTAAGTAACTGCATTAATTTGTACTCTTAAATTTTAGTTTGAATTTCAGAGGTAAATTTAGTGATCATTTGTTAGTAACCAAATGAGGCCAAGTATCTAAGCGCATTCTCAAGTCGCCAGAATTAGTACCTCTATTTGCTCAGGTCTACCGGGAGCTAAAAAATGGACCGGTGGAGTGTTTGGGCGATATTATCCAAAGGATATGTTTGCAATGAATCAGGATCGCTGGACGATGGGAGTCGATCCTAAATTGCATGGCGTAAGATCTAAATTCCAAGGACACGATTATCTTGGATTTTCGGTCCGACGTGGACGCTTTGGTTTTTGGTAATTTTCATTGGTTTTTAATTGTTATGGTTTTTAATTTGTTATATATCATGGAATTGGTAACAGATTTCGTAAAAGAAAAAACCTTATTGAAATAAAAATGCTTTTCAGATATTCAAACTATTTATCAATAAAAATATTGATGCCACAAAAATCAGAATGTTATTCAAATCAAGCAATAAAATTTTGTTAATATTCTTGAAGGCTCAGATGTTTGTTTTAGTAGTGCTTTCATACTCTGAAAAAACTCGAAATCTTAAATTTGTATTCAAAAAAAACAAAATTAAAGGCTGAAAGTTTATAAAAAAAACTTACAAAAATCACTTCATATAGATATCTAGAAATTGGGACAAGCTTATGTAGTATTTAGTTTTATTCTGCACCCAAAAGAATAATATTTAACGCTTAAACTTTGTCACTTAATTAATTTTTTATAGCAAGGCAATTGTTGAACTTTTAAGAGTTACTAATCAAATTAATCAACAACTAAATTATCTTCAAAATGAGATAAATCCAAATAATGTAAACAACAAAGTGGAATTACAGGTATGAAGATGAAGAAAATTCGACGGTAGTGACTGGTGCCACTCGCTACAACCAGACAGGTGCAGTTACCTTTCTACCCTTCAGATCCGCGCAGATCTCAGCATCTCAGATCTCACATCATCTCACTCTTACCGATGATGCGTATATCCTGACGGGATCGCAACTGGGATCAGCCTTCGGTTACTCTCTAGAAGTCACTGATTTAAACAGTGATGGGTTGGTTAGCATTCTTTTTTTGAGCTTAATTAGAAAGGATGCATTTTAAATGCAGTCAGAATAAGTTGTAATTTAGAAAGTATAGCATGATGTTATTTAAAAAAAGAACTATGTATTTGAGATATTAAGTAGTAAAGATAGTTCACCATTAAGTAATGTATTTAACTTGTACCAAAAGTACTAGAAGGAAACAGGGCAGTTAATGATGAATAATTTATACTGCTACATATTCACGGTACAGAAAAAAATAATTACTTTACATACTTTTTGTGTGCAATTATTTTTCTCGTACAACCAGAACAAAAGTGATTAGACCTCCTCAACTAATTAATTCTAAACAATGACTATTGTGAACTGAATCTCTACACCTGTCTTTGTATTTTTTCTCATTGTGTCAAATTTTGATTTTTATGCAGAAGAAAATTACAGTATTGTCTCATAAGGTATTCATTTTTGAATTTATAGTGAAAATGGGGTGAAAAAAAAGGATCACTTCAGCATTACCTTTGAGTGATCCATATGATATAATATCATAAGTTAAACTCATTTCTCTTAGCCATTGTCGACTGAAAGTTTAACTTTTACGTTTAAGTATCACAAAATGTGATGAATACCTTATGAGACAATACTGTAATGTAAAAAAATTTTTAAATTTTAGATATGATGATTTGTTAGTTGGTGCTCCGTTTGAATATGCAGAAAGAGCAGATGGCTCTTTTGGTGGTGCAGTGTATATCTTTTATTCATCTGGAATACGTCGAAAACGTAATGAAAATGTGAATGTTTTTCTGCAGCCAATTAAAATACGTGGTCGTGGAGTTTATTCGCAATTTGGTTTAGCAATAACACGTTTGGGTAACGTGGATGGTGACAGTAATAACTACAATGGTAAAATTGAAAGACCTTCAGTTTGGTTATGATTAGTTAAAATTAATTAACTGTACAGTCCATTTTGTGTACATTTCACTCCATTTTCATTCGTATGAATAATTTTTGAAAAATTTATCCAAAAAATAACACTTTACAATTTCACTTAGTACTGCTGTATAAATTTTCTGATAGAATTTGTCAATAATTCCTTTATAGATTTTGCCGTAGGTGCGCCATTTAGCGACGGTGGAAAAGGTGTAGTATACATTTATCTCGGTGCTAAATCACGTGAAACCTTCAGCCATAAACCTGTACAGGTTTGTTTCTGATCTATTGTATCGTTGGTGTCTAAACTTTGTAGTGAAAATGAGGAATGATTTTTCTAGGTGATAGCTGCAGACGATCTACCACAACAGTATTTCCGCTCAAAACCACTAAAAACATTTGGTTTTTCGTTATCAGGTGGGTCTGATCTAGATGCAAACGGTTACAATGATTTGGTTGTTGGGGCTTTCGATTCAGATACAGTAACAGTTCTTCGAGCTCGGCCTGTAATCAACATAAATGCTAAATTTATGCATACTGATATGAAAATTGATATTGATGGTGACTCGTCTTGTTTCAGAGCTGCGCAAACATGGTTAGCACAATTTATTCGCTAATTCCAATTTTCCGATTAATTTGATGTACTGATCAACTGTTTTTCTAAATTAAATATATGTTATATATGTTATCTAATGCTTGGTTACGGTTTTTTTGTTTCATCAGTCATTTCAATCACATTACCAGTCATTAGTTGATTAAATTGCTAATTAACAGATTAATTAATGGTCACTACTGTCTTTCATCCTTAATTGATCAGGTTCATAGCGCAAAAGTAGAACTGAAAAATGATTTTAGAAAAAATAAAAAAGAGAACTTTTTGCGACATTCTCTGCGTTGTTATTCACTTATATGGAACTATTTGAACTATACAATTTTAAGTAACTTAATTATTTTTCGTTGAAAACTTCAAAGTTATATTTAAAATGCTACAGTTGAATATGTATTTTGAGCTATGTATCACTTTTGCTTGTAACTTTCCAGATTTTTTTCCGTTTCTGTTGTTCACGCATTATCTTACATATCGTTTGGTGATATCATTTTATAGCTTTTCAATCAGTACGGAGTTATCAGCAGATAAAGCAACTCTGAACAATTCATCGAAACTGCTTAATTTTGATAATAGTGATGTCTTTAAATGTACACTGCAGGTAAGGTTTAATAAAAACTTAAAAACACGTTATTCTTTTTTCATCGTTGTTCCATACTTCAAATCATTTATAATTTGTAACTTTGCTCAGTCATTTCTTATTATTATTAAGCTTGGCAAGAACTTTTAAAAAAATGGAAATGAAAAAAACTAATAAAACTAATTTGTAGAATTTTTTGACAAATTAAAATTTATTGATTGATATTTACATGTTCTTTAGATCTAATTACTGATAAAACGATACATTGTACTTTTTTTGGAATACTATTTGATAAAAAGTAAGCATTTGCGCTTGAATTATTATGCAAAATACATTTTTCGAATTTACTGTATACTTCGAAAAATGTATTTTGCATAATCAATAATGTGTTGGAACAAATTTAATCAAAATAATAATAGCAAGGACTCTTTGTGTAGTATTTTAGTTTATTTCAATGATTTTTGTGCTTAAAAGGAGGTTCTAATTTGCCTAATAATATTTCAGGTGGTTCCGGTGAGTGCAGGGATAGGAACACGAGCACGTATTCTTGAATCACGCAAAGAAAATTTTACTTGGAACTGTGGGCGAAATATAAATCAAAGACCACAAATAAAACATCACAAACTTTTTATAACAGTATATTTTTAACTAATTTTTAACATTTTTGAAATTCAAAGTCAGTAACTAAAGTCAAATCATTATTGCTATTTATATTACTCACTTATTTGCTTTCGATGATAGTAAAACTTTGTGAAAATTGGCTTTCATCTAATCTTTTCCTGCACATTTGGGTAGAAATATAAATTGAAACTTTTTCAATAATAGAACAAATGTAGTAAAGTGTTTTTTGTGTATAGAATACGAATAATGACTGGATAAATCCAATTAAACTTCAATTTTCTGTACGTCTAAGAAATGAAGCGAAGCCCGAAATGCCACGTAGTGGTGAGAAAATTGTTGATATGAATTTATATCCTGTGCTCAATAAATATGGTTCTCAGGACACTTTTATTGTAAGTGTCTACCGTTAAGAGTTGAAATCTTAGATATTTGCAATTGTGTAAAGTGTGCAATTGAATGTAATTCATATGAAAATATTGCTATTTTTTGCTTTTCTGATTTTGGAATATTTGAAAGTATAAATAAGAAATAGACTATTTTGAGTTGAATTCTAAACGAGACGGAAAGTTCATGCATCAGTACTAACTTATAAGAGTAAGGGGCAAATTTTAGCGAAATATTTGTCATGCTTTGGATAAACTTACTTGTTAAGACCTAACATTTGTTGTGTTTTGAATTCACTCAAAATGTGATCGTTTCGACATTTTTTAAAATTCTAGATTTGATCAATTTTTTGCATACTCACAAGTTCCAGCAAAAATTCAGAATATTACAGATTCATTTTAATCGAAAATGTGGCACAGATAATGTCTGTACAAGTGATTTGCAGTTAAAAGCGGTCTTACCAGGGATATCGTAAGCCATTCTGATTCTTACATTTAAAATCGTCGTTATGTCGTTTTTTTCGATTCAGTCGTGTATCTGAAAATTGGAACCGAAATCATAATTTGGCATCTATTTTTTTTCTGTTAAATGAAATTTTTTAAATAGCAGTTCAGCAAAATAGAGCAAGAAGACCTGTAAGTATTAAAATTAAAAAAAGTCACGGAAGTCGATCCCTAATAATTATGATATGACAATTACTGTTTTGCTAGAACAGATTCGAATGTATTTCAAATTCTAGAATTGAGTTTCATAACTATGTATTTGTATTTGACTTTGGTTTGTATTTAAATTGTATATTGAACCGTCCATTTTAATTAAGATTTAGTTGAGTAATTAGATTTTTTACAACAATTTTTATTCTAATCTCTAGTAAACTATATTTTTTAGAATCACAATTTCTGTCATGTTGAAATTCTAAACTTCTATTATAAAAATATTCAATAAGATTTGTGTATAGAAAACGTGAAAAGGGAATATATTAAAACGATACATTTGTAGTCAAGAAAAAGATGGAAGTTATGTAACACAAGTTGGAGAGAAAGCTAGTATCGATGTGTCATTTATGGTGAAGAACAATGCTGAAAGAGCTTACGAAGCGATGCTATTTGTAGAATACAATTCAGATGAATTAGATGTTCCAAATTTGAAGAAGAAGGACGGTCCAGTAAATCTTGATGATTTCAAGGACAACTTTGTTTTGATATCTCTTGGCAACCCTATGGAACCAGACAGAGAGGTTCATATCATTTATAATAATAATGTCACTGAATATAAAAAATTACTACATCAGTTGAAGTAGCAACAATAATAACTGAAAATTTAACACAAATTTGTTCAAGAAGCAAGCTTTGCAGTCATGTAAAAGTCATTACTCTCATTACTATTACTGTTTTATTAATATCATTAATACATTGACAATGATCACTGTTGTTTATCATTTCACTTCATTTATCATGCTCTGAAATATCAACTTAAAATTAAAGAATGGTTGCTATTTGTCTGGAAATCATGATGTTATTGTAAGCTTCAAGTAGACACTGACTCTTTTAGCTCACTGCAGTCAACAGTAGCAATTAGAAAAAAATAAAATATAATGTGTGGGAGTGTGAAAACAAAAACAAAAATAAGCTGACATCTGGTTGTCATGGGATTTGAAACACATTAAAAAGAGTAATTGTGCTGCGAGCAAGAAGAATAGAAATTGTAATTTCCAATCTAAATGTATTTTTAAGAATGGGTGATTTTAGCTATTATTATCATTTTGAAATCAAAATACACTACAGAAACATTTCAAATCAGCGACATCACGAGATAAAACTTTCAGCTCAAATTTGAGCTCAGTTTCCGGCTGGCTCGTGGACGTACAGAAGGTCTAGGTAAACCCTTGCGATTTCGAGCATTCGTTAATAGCACTAGCGATGAGAGTAATTTAAGTGATAATTCGTGGGAAGCTGTTGTGCGAGTAATTAAGCGAGCAGAATTAGAACTCAGTGCTGTCTCCGATCCCGCTATTGTCAGGTGAAATTCTTTTATATTTGATAAATTCCAGTTACCACTTTTATTAAAATTAAAATTGAGTGAGTTATGTTGAAATTGATTATTGATTATTAATTAATATGTCAAGTACAATCAGTACTTGAGCTGATGGTAGTACTTGAAATTATATAAAAATTTGACAAAGAAGCGTGACTGCTAATTTTGTTAGAAGTTGAGACAGATAATAAGAAGAAATAGATTGGTAACGCGTGATACACATTTGTAAAAAAGATTAGTTCTGAGTGGCATCAGACTTATTATTCGGAGTGGGATCAAATCTTTTTACATTTTAGATTTCTTAATGTCGATTAATTAATAATCAATAATTATGACAGAAATCGCTGTTTTAAAAATATATGTAATGAATTAGGTTGGTTTCTATGGATTAACCTGGGTGTTAAAAATTTTAATCAGTTAATAATTTCTGAGTTACAAACTTTTAGATATGGCGGTGAACTCAGATCTGAATCAGAGATGGAATTTGATGCTGACATTGGACCACTTGTGTTACATAAATATACAGTTACAAATAAAGGTCCTTGGTCGGTATCCAATGTTACGGTTCAGGTCAGTAAAACTAACGCAACGTTTTTTGAAATATGTGTTTCATGAACAAAGAACTAATAAGATATATTTGGATGATATAATTGAGTTTTTCATATTTTTTAGATTCATGCTTTGTTTATTCTTTTTATTATAGTAAGTATAACATACATATTTAAAAAAATAAAGAAATAGCACTGATATCACATTTCAGGTCGATTGGCCTTATCAGGTTGCAAGTATTTTTGCGAGAGGTAAATGGGCTTTGTATCTGCTTGAAACACCCTCAATGGTATTAACGAATACTGATAACAGCAAAGATGTGAAATTGTGTACAATGGCTTTACCTCACGAATGGGTCAATCCACTACAGTTAAAGTTATTCTTGGAAACAGATAATGAACATTATAAAGAAGAAATGGATGAGCACGGAATAAATGAAAAAGAAGAAGCAGATGATCTGAACCGAGTTAAAGTTGGTTTTGATCACTTATTACTGAAGTATGATGTCGTTGCTGATTCAGCAAATATATTATTCAATATATTCTGAATCTTCACATGGTTCAAATATAGTGTAGTTCAGCTCTTAATTTGAATCAAGTATGATTGTAGCTCATTATATGAAAAATCAATTGTGAAGGCAACAAATGAGCAAGGTTTATTGTTGTAAGAATTCTTATGGTTATTGTAAAAGTAGCTTAGTTATTTACTAGTTTAGTTATTTACTAGCGTAAAGTTCTCTATGCACTTATAGCGACCGATTTAAAGTTTCTGTTGATTTGAACACGATTTTAAATTTAGGATCTTGCTATGATATGCATCGCGTTGAAGCGCAAAGCACTTTCATTGCATGTCTCACTTGCTACTTTTGATTTTAACAAAGAATCGGTTGCTTTCAGCGAACGATTGGTGGGTACAGTGAAAGAAGACCATCTCGAGAATTGCGAATTAAACCGACAAAAATTCGGGAAAAATCTGGTGAAGAAGTAGAAATTGTTAGAGTGGTGAGCTTTTTTAATATTCTGATTTTTTATCACTATTTATTGTTTAAATTATTCAAAATTATTTTCGGTCAGAAAATTACAGAATGCATATAATATAAATTGTAGTTCACTGACAAATTTTCTTAATGAATTTATTGCTAAATACTTTTCTATATACAGAATCTTCGCGTGATTCAAGCTTTAAAAAATTTTGCTAATAAATTCAATTTTTTTAAACTTGATTCAATGTGAAAAAATAAAATTTTAAAGGCATCAAAAGAGAAGCAGAGAAAATGGTTTAGTTTTGATTAGCTTTATTTGCTTGTTGCCCTTATTGCTAAGTACTTGTCTTCAAATTTTTGCCAATTTTTTTTAATCAGTTATATTGTTAAAATTATTTTAAATTTGTCATGACGGTTTTATGAGTATTTTTGTTTTAGCTTCACAATTGTTTCAGAACTGTGTTGATAGAACAGCAAAATGTTTCACTGTGACTTGTCATTTCGATTTTTTGGATGTCGATGCTTCGGCGGTGATAGATTTCCGATCGCGATTGTGGAATGCTACTTTTGTCGAAGTATTTGTTTTCAAATTTCTACCAATTTTTTAAAATCATTTATATTATTAATATTATTTTAAATTTGTCATGTCAATTTTATCATAACATAAAGTATCTTTCTAAAATGTGGCAAATTTTCTTAAAGAATTTATTGTTAAATATATTCTGAACCTATTTTTTATTTTCATAACATATATCAATACAAATCGAACAATAAGTACTTTCTCAATTCTATAAAAATTTCTAATATAAAATTCAACTTTTTAATTTAATGCAATATTATTTCACTTTTTTTAAAAACGTACATTGTATAATATTCTTGCACACGAGCTATACAGATTATTTTGGTGAACAGTTAGAAGTAATTACTGTTTGTAATTTTCTTTGTTCTTAATCTCGTTTGATTTTCATACTTGTCTTTGAATACTATTATTATGAACGTTTGTTTCCAGGATTATTATGACATCACTTACGTTGCTATTGTTTCATCGGGTAGGATTATTTTGGATGACAGTCAAGGTATTGAGGAGAGGAACACACAGAATAATTTTGCATCCGCATCTACTCATGCTTATCCAGACCGGCCTGCAATCTCAGAAACTGTTTCCATGCCTTGGTGGCTCATTCTATTGGCTGCAATACTTGGCTTGTTAATTTTATTCATTTTAATCGTCATATTTTGGAAGTGCGGATTTTTCAAGCGGAATCGGCCGCAACATCCAATACTGTATCAAGCCGAGTATCAGTTTCGACGAGAGGCATCTAGTGAAGCTTAAAGTACTGCTTCTTCTTATTGCAATAAATCTACCGATTTTTTTCTCCAAACACGAAATACTTCGCGTTTAACTATCTCAGAAAAAGGAAAAATACTGCAATCAATCTTTGTCCTAAGGTTCAAGAAAAAAGTATACGGGTTATTATCAAATACGATTACTTATTTTTGGTTGTCATAATTATTGTTTCATGTTGATTTGCAATTGTGCATGATTTGTTTCAAGTAAACAAATAAGAAAAAGCCAAATTTTCAACGTAAGCTTTATTTATCGGGAAAATATCGTAAATTTTATCTGATTTTGTGTTGATTTCATTTTTGGTTAGGCATCATCAGGCTTGTTTATTTTTTAAATGAATTTGTTGTCGTGATCATTGTTGCTAGAACATGTTGGGTACAAAATTTAAAGAAAAATTTCTTCTGTTAAATTTCACTGTTACGAAACAATTCTTGTTGGATCCGGAATTCTTCATCCAAATTTTGAAAATAGAGCAAGTAGGAACTTTGTTTAACAAATGTTCAATGGTTTTTATTCAAATTCATTTTTTATAAAGATTGAAAAATATTGAAAGTAGTGGTAATACATTATTTTCCACTAAAAAATTGACCCAAGCATTAGTCATTAAATTTTTTTGAAAGTACTGAAAATGAATAATTCTTCAGTGCGCTGGGAAATTAAGCAATAATAGTACTGATTTAAGCTTTAATTTTTAAGAATATTCAATGTTTAATATTACTCCTGATGAAAAGTAATGTTAACTACCGCTCAGGCATACTTTTATTTGCTTACTTTTTAATTTTACTTTAACGAAGGGAAATTTTTTCTGGTTGAGATGAGTGATTTTTAAAGCTAACTTATTTAGAATGCTTGACATGTAATCTTTAACTTTTGTATACTTAATATTTTTGACCTCAAACCTATATTTTTTTAAAATTCACACTTAATAATGATTCTTTTTGCTCAATTTCGTTATTGTTCAT